GAGAATGACATTTTTCAATTTTCTTCAAATTTTTTTATAAAAATTTAACAGCCGATTTATTGAATTGTCAGATATTTTGGGTTTTAATCCACCATTTTTTCGGAAAAAAGTGCAGAAATAATTCATCTGTGAGGAAAATTTTTAACCAATTAGGAATGGTTACAAGGAGGCGTTCATGCTGGTGCAACATTGGATGAAATCTAGGGACGCCAAAGGCAATATGATGATAATTGGAAGGCGTTTGTTGACGTTCACGAACAATACCTTGAATTAGTGCTCCAGAAAGAAGAAAGAGATATCGCAAGTCGTAGCTACAAAAAACAGATGGCAAAAAAGGTGCATCTAGATGAAATGATCAGATCTTGGCAAAGGAAAGCCAAGCTAGAAGCAAAGCAACGAGGAAAAGAGGTTAGTTCGCCTTCATTAATAACAAGTAAGAAGCTCAGCGAGTAAGTCAAGGAGCCACAGATCCAAGTCTTCAACAGTGTCCAAAAGGAAGGAAAAGTTAGCTCTTGCACAGCTGAAGAGAAATCTGTTAGCGAACAACATGAACTTGAAAGGAAAACGGCAGAATTAAAATTTGAAAAGGAGGCTATGGAAGCCCAAATGGAAGAAGAGCGAGCGTTGGTGAGTCTTAACTCTTGCCGAGAAGAAGCATAGATCGAACTCGAAGAAGGCCACAATAAGACATCAGCGGTAACAGTATCAAACCTAAGGAAAAACCTATCACCGTTTGCAAAGGCGTGTTCCACAAAGTTCGCTAGTGCAAACAACAAGCATGCCCTCGAAGCCAAGGAAGATAGGAGACCTGGGGAAAATCATTGAAGTAGATCAACCCGAACCACAAATAAAACAGTCGGAGGTACCAACACAGAAAACTCAAACTAATTCAGAGCAACCTGTAAGATCGTCGAAAGACGAAACACAATCAGCTCTTATGACAAACGTAATAGAACAAAAAACAGAACAGATCCAATTAATGGAAGTAGTAGGAGGAGAAGAGATAGTAAAAGCCTTGAGACAAGTAGTTTCTATGCCATAATTCAAATATATGCACTTTGAGGGTGATGCAATAAACTATGCTTCCTTCATGCATAATTTTGAGATTTGCTTAGAAAAGGACAATCCAGATAGTTATACTAGACTTCAACTGCTAATACAATATTGCACTGGTAAAGCTCGTGATGCTATTGAGAGTTGTGTTAACTTACCTGCCCAAGAACGTTATAACATTGCAAAGAACACACTGTATGAAAACTTTGGCAAACTGCATATAATTGCAAAGGCTAACGTTCTAAAGTTGATGAATTTGCTGCTATTGAAGCAAGCAGATGGACCAAGTTTGTTGGAATTAACTCGACATTTGGAAGTAGCAAACAGAACCCTACGCGAATTAAATCGAAAGCTACCACTATTTATGAGAGTTAAGTGGACAAAATGTGCGGGTTCTATAATCGAATCTGGTTCTAGACCTAAATTTAAAGATTTCCTTCTTTTTGTGAAGAAAAGAGCCAAGCTCGTGAACAATGACTTTGGGGAAGATCTCTGTTCTGGCGTCGTAAGAAACGATGGAGGCAAGAGATTAGATGGAAAAAGGGTCCCTCTACGAGAACTAGTTCGTTTGCGGTTGGAGTGTACAAACGAGTGAACGGTAGAGATAGAAACTTTACAGAAAGGAGAATATCAAACATGAAATGCCTCATTTTTCAAGAAAGCCATAGGATATGGAAATGTGATAAGTTTAAGAAACTTCCTTATCATGAAAAGAAGAAGTTTGTTCAGGAACACGAACTTTGTTTCAGGTGTCTCACTAGGGGGCATTATGCAGATATTGTCTCAAGACTGATCTCAACTGTCGAGTAGAAGGATGCAGAGAGGGCCACAATACTTTGTTACATCCACCACAAACGAAAACGGCCAGCAAAGAGCATTCAAAGGACAAACTGTGTGAAGGAAATGGTACAAACAAGAAGAGGGAACCGAACAAAGAGGGAAGTCCAGATGAAGAAAAGGTAGCAGTTGCAACTGGTGCCTTAGCGTTCTTCCACTGAAAGTAACAGCAAAGAGGAACAATCGACTGGCAGTCAGAACTTACGCACGAATGGATTGTGGTTCAGAGGTAACACTTTGTCATAAACGTTTGCAAAATCAACTTGAAATAACTGGAGGAAAGCATGACTTCACATTGACAGGGATGACTGGATCGACTGAATTAAAGAGTGAATTAGTAGATATCGTAGTAAGTTCTATGGATGACAGCACAGTGGCTGAATTACCAAATATCAGAACGGTGGACCAAATACCAATTTCAGAGTCTTGTGTAGCAAAAAGAGGTGATATAAGAAAATGGCCGCACTTGCGCAATCTTCCGTTGCAAGTGTTGGAGACTTGTGAAGTTATGCTGGTTATCGGACTGCGCGAAAATCCTACGTTGTTTCTACCTTTGGAATATAAATTGGGAGAGAAACAGGATCCAGTAGAAATTAAAGACAGTTTAGGATGGACAGTGATTGGTCGCGTCGCTGACCAAAAGGAACGGCGTCGGTGTGCATCGGCTAATCATGCACGATTGGAAATCGTTGCCGATGACTCTGCCACTAACAATGAGGTTGATGAAGGGGAAAATGAATACCTCAAGTATCAACTGGAAAGATTGCGGAAGACCGACTTTGAGGGCTCCCTAGTTGAAACTAGTGTGTGTCCATCGCTTAAAGACAAGAGAGCGCTTCAAATAATGGAAGAGACGCTGACAGTAGTGGCCCCTAGAACAAGTAGTCTCAAACGAAGTCCTGCAAACCGTGATTGCAGAAGTGGTTCTAATCCTGAATTGAAGACCTCTCACGCGCAACAGTGACCGTCCTGACGATGGCGATCCTCTAACTCTAAACCACTTATTGCATTTACGAACAAGTACCAGCTTACCCCCGAGGATATTTGACAAGAATTATTTTTGCTGTAAGAAGAATTGGAAGCAGGCTCAATACCTGGCAAATGTTTTTCGGCGTAGATGGCTTAAGAATTACTTACCAACATTAATGGAGAGAAAGAAATAGTATACACCGAGACGGAATCGTGAAGAAGGAGATCTAGTACTTGTAGCTGACGAAAAATACCCAAGGGGACAATGGCCATTAGCAGAGGCGGATTTAGAGTACCTCAAAATAAATTACTGCAGCACATTTTGGCGTATATTTACATTTCTAAACACCTTAGAGGCAAACTCATTGGCAAAACTATATTCTTTAGAAATTATGAACCAATAGTTTTTTAAAGTTGAATTTAAAATTGAAGATCTTTCATTTATTTTGAGGTACTTTGGATCCGCCACTGGCGGATGTAATTTAAGTGTTTTAATTATTTGCTTTTTGCCATTTCACAATCATTACAACGAAATCAAATATGCTACAACTTGGGAAGTATTCGATGCAGTTCTTGTTCAGAAGACCACAAAAATCTCAAAGATTCTCGACTTCTCGTGATTTGTATACAATATTTTTTCATTATTCATTTACGAAACGCGAGAAACGCATGCACAAAAACAAATCCTACAATTGTTGCGAAAAAGGCCATCACATGAAAGAAAGCAAAAAACTAATGAGAATAAATGAGCTAACATTTCTCTCGTGATCCGTTGAGATAAAATATGATATATTTTGTTTCGTACAGACTACAAACTTTGATCGAGCAAATCGTTAAACGACAGTTACGACGCGCACATCTGCATTCATATGTGGCCAACAAATAGCTCGTTCGTCAATAGTTGAAAAAGGCATCCGTCGTAGAAGCCGACAACTGGCAACGACAGTAGACTCGCTTTTATGAAATTTATGTTTTTACAGTGATATCACCATAAAATGCTTGCCAAATATGCGAAAAAAACATATACTTTTTCCTCACTCTTTCTTAATGTGTGAAGATTTCGGTAAATCTCAGCGGTAATGGAACAAATCCTCCATTTTTTTGGTTTCAGCCGCTAATTAAAGCCGTGTTTGAGACAGTGAATAACTAGACATTTGAATAACTAGAATGATAACCGAAGCCAAAAATTGAAGCCAAAAAAATATTTGTCGTCATCATTCGTCATCACACGTCAGGCTCTAGTCTCTCGCGAGTTATTTTAATTTTTTTAAATCATTTGTCCCTTGGTAATGGTAGAGTTCGGATCTTGATCAGAGCGTAAAAATAACGAAATTTTTGGAAGGAAAAGGTTCACGGAAAGTGAATCAAAGTGATAAATCGAGAAGCAGGGTGAGGGGAACTTAGTTGATCTGCTCTTACGCTGCGGTTTTCCTTTAAAACATATCAAAGTCTTTAAGGATATTCAGTTACTGATATCGAGATGACAACCATTTAGTATTTCAAGCACTATCAAAATCGATGAAAGATACAATCGCTCTGTAAAAAGTAAAATGCGAGTTATAGACTCAATATTTTTTATGAAACTGGATATTCAAGTTTCTTTTTTCTTCGGAAAAACAGGTCTTTAAATCCACTGAAATGACAAAAAAGACAAACACTGTCTTATACCGTTTGAAAATTTACCTTCCGATGTAAGAAAAATTTTTGCTAGAATATTTTCTCGTCATATTTTCTTATTGTATTGTCTTTTCAGCATACAGTGTAATTTTCAGTTGGCTTTTCCTCGTTACAAGTTGTAAGTTACAACGAACTCACTGTTGTAAAGTTTCAGCTGTAAAAAATAACCTTTTGCGAAGAGTTGGCCTCGTGTATTGTTTGTCGTGATGTTGTTTATATGTTTATGCTTTTGCAATTTGTATTCAAATTTATATTGATGTTTGGCACTCAGGGGAATGAAACTGACGTACAAACCGCGTGAAATTCGACTTTGAAGGACTGGAACTGACGTACAAACCGCGCAAGAGACTAGGACTTTGGCTTCAATTTTATATTTATAAAATGTATTGTCGTTATCATTCCAGATATATATATATATATATATATATATATATATATGGAGTTCAGTGGTTTGAGATAGCCGCTCCAGTTATTATAGAACTCAATGGTGCGAACACAGTAAACATCTTATTTCTTAATGGGCAAAAGCGACATAAACCTCGCCATATTGATTGGCGAAGGAAAAGCAAGTATGCTTGCTAGCAGTGGTTGCCATTTGATACAGCTAACACTCTCAAGTTTACTTGAAATGTGATATAAACCATTTTTCTTTGAAAAGAGTGTATGAAAATGTTACATGGCCGTTTTAGATCTAGCACGGACCGACAAAATGAATCAACAATGGTAGCAAAGTGCATTGGTATTTACTATTTAGTATTTAATGACCATGTATAAACTATTTTAGCATGTGGTTTGGAAAGATAGTTGTATAAAATACATAGTTAATGTATAAATTTGCACTCAAAACCTACATGATTGATGATTTCCACCCCTCCCTGCTCCCTTCCCCATCCGATCTGATCATCCTCTCTAATCCTTGATCCATGAAGCAGTAATTTTTACCATTTTGATTTACTCTGGGTCATTGTATCATTCCTAGGAATAAACAGCAATTTAAATTTTTCAATAATAGATTTTCAATAGACAATAATAGATTTTTGTTTATAGCCTCTATAACTTCAACATTATTGGGCAATGGCCAAAGGTATGAAATTGACTACTGTAGTTACAGATCAAGCTTTAAGCTGAATAAATGATAATTGAAATCTGTAATCAATAGTTCAATAGTATTGTAAGGTATTATGGATTGTTAAAAAAATATTTAAATTTATTGGCTTCAATTTGTTTTGCCCAACATTAGATCCACAACTAGACTACTACTGTTGCATGTATCGCGGTTGAATTGAATTAAGTTAAATTCGTTACTGGTATGTTTATTATAATGATTGCTATAATTTTTTCAGAATAAAATGTTGCATGTCATCAGAAAACATGTCACTTATATGTTGTACACCTCAGCTCCTTCAAACCATTGACATTCAGGTAAGAGTTTATGTTGCTTTTTGTTTAAGCCATTGACATTTACCATTCTGACATTTAATATTCTGACATTTACATTTACTGTTTACTATTCAAAAACATATATATTTCTAATTTCTAGTTAGTTGAACTTAAAGTTTTTATTGTTTTTGAAATGTTTGAGTTAGCTCCATGAATAAGTTATCAACTTTTTATGGATTTTAGATGGCCACATGTCATTTGTGATTCGTACGATTTACCTACATTGTATATCTCTTGGCATAAACCAAATTGTTTGTCAACTGCAAATAAGTGAGATTGGAAATCTAAGTGCCTAATCTTTATTTTTAAATAAAAAATGAAAATGTATTTTTGTAGCATCCTGCTGGTTGTATCATTAACAATGTTTGTCAGAGTTTTCATCATGAGTATGGATGTGGATCGACTACATTAGTTTGTATGATTGGCTTCTGGTCCGATGCTTTGCAGGATCTTTTAGATAAGGTGAAATGTTTACTGCAGTTACGTATATGGATATTTTATTGTTTAATCACTGAAAAAACAATACATTTTTAATGAAATTCAATTGATAATGCTGATGTCGTATACATACAGAGCTTGTAAATATGTATTGTAAACATGCTTATTGTATAAAGTACAGAAGTGCTCAAAAGAAGCTGCTAAAATGATTCTGTTGCTTACAAAGTTTTCGTGATGATCATATTACGACGATTTTATTGTGTTTATTTATTGTATGACAGGTAATAAACCCCATTTGTTTTTGTCTGCTCAGTATAAATCAATAATGGCAAGAATAATGAATCCACTTTCACCTTTCTTGTAGCCACATTCTTTCTTACAAAACTTTACAATACATACTGTGTAAGATTCCCTATTGCGTTTTTGTCATTATTATTTATGGTATCAGCATATTTTTGTATCTTCATAGGGAGTTCCTCGTGTGGTAATGCTGACTGTTCTGACGGATATCATCGATGACTTTGAAATTATTTTGAAAAAAACATGTATTTCTTTGGATCAACTCCGAGACGTTCGACTACGTTTTAATGAAATGAAAAGACAAGTTATTCCCTTTGAACGTGGTTGTAATTTAAGCATTCAAAAACATTCTTCTATCGAGGATGCAACTGCGAAGACCGTGTATTATTCAGACAAGCAAAGTGGAGTTTTACTGAATGAACGGAAACACTCTTCAAAATTCAACAGTTTCAGTTTAAAAGAAATTGATCACCCAAATTTAGTGAATGAGTGTCATGCTTATTTTGAGGAATTTAATCAAGATGAAGATAATACCACCACCGGAAGAAATTGTTTAAACACATTACAGGAAAAGCGCTTTAAAGATGTAAAAATAGGAAGATGTTCACGATTTATGTCACTTAACGATTCTGGTTTTATTCCACATTCTAATGTTCATTTTCTAGAAGAAAAATATTCTGATTCTAGGTTTTGCTTTGAGTCGATAGCAAAGAACACTGTTAATGTAAAGAGTATATACGGGGTTTCGGTTAACAGGCTGTCAAAAGTAGGTTATTCCAAACAGTTGACTAATTCTAGGAACATCCACTTGAGAAGTCGTCATCTTAATGATTGTAACTCGTCTTTATCAGTTTCTGATTGCTCGATTCAAAGGGATAAAATCATGGTCGACGACATGAAAACTACACACAATCATTCGAGCAATTTCGTTAATCCCACCCATTCTGATGCTGAAAGTTCCCAAGTCAAGGAACGATTTTCTGCTGATGGTTTATCTTCAGCATCAACGCACGCATCCCCTGTACAAGGAAATATCATGGATGGAACGTATCAAAGATCTGCTGACGCTCAGCGTCTTACAAGAGAGTTGGCAACTTCGCCTACATTGTGTGATAGTAGCTCCAATCCTTTTTTGACCAGTACAGGCACGTCTCCAAGATGTCGAGAAAAGGAAGGAAGCTGGCTTGATTATCTGTCTTGTGGTCTAGCTCATGGTAAGGAGCTTGAAATGTCTTTAGCAGTTGATATTGTCAAGAAACAATGTTACTGGACAAAAAATATGGGCGGTGCTGACTTAAATGTTCAGAAAGACTTAATAAACGTTTCCATTGTGTTGGGACCACCACAATCGAAATCTCGTGTATTGCCGGGTGTTGTAGTCCAGTTTTCTGACAATTGTCCATTTATAACAAAGAAATCTGTTAAAAATGCACGACGAATGGCATTGATTAAAGGTGACGTCAGCTATGCCTACCGACATCCGGGTTTTAAGGATCCAGTGAAAATAGCGCAATATTCAAATAAGGACGAATTCTGCTGTTCAAGCAAAGATGGGCAAAAAAAATGGACAAATCGTGTATTGACACTCATACAATCGTTTGATATTGGTGTAATTGCCCTTCGTGGTAAGATATCCACAGATCTTAGGGACACTTTGCAAGCTCGTGGTGTGGCTATTATTGAAAACTTGAGTTTTTTTCAGCTACATCTATTGGCTAAATTAACGGAATGTTCGATTGTGTCTTATATTTTGAACATAACCGAACGTTGTTTCGGAAAACACGTTTCAATGCGTGTGTGGGACAGCGGTTGGTCACGTGGTACATATTTACGTAAATCTAATGTCAATAGAACAGTTGTATTTGGTCAACTTTATTTCCATTCGTTAGACGAGAAATGTGTTGGAAATGTTTATTCAGCAGTTTTATGTAATCCAATCCAAGACTTGCTTGAGGACAGCAGGTTGCGGTTTTTGAATTGTCTTGATCGTCTTCACAATGCTGCTGTCGATAAATGTGTTTTGCCTGGTGGAGGTGAGGTGGAAATGACTTGTATTCGTCACATCAAAGATGTGAAAGGTAAAGTATCATTAAAGGAAAAGGTTTTTTAATGCCATGTCATGCTGACAGATGTTATTATTCGTGGACGTCAATAGATAGGATGTATCAGTTGACAAGTGACAACTCTACAACTATTTTAGTTATTATTTGGCTGCATTCCATAAAATGATGCAAGAAATAATTTTTCAATGAATGTTATCCTTTGTGAGAATATTTACCCATTTTTCTCCATTTGCTCACAATAAAAGAACAGTTGTGAAGAAAAAACACTTTCAATACAACTACGTTTATTTCAGAAACCAAAACGCATTCATTTTTTGAATGTTATGAGCTTTACAGTGTCCTAACTTTTCCCTTAATCTCTAGATTATAAAGCTGAAGATACTGCACTCTTATCACGTTGGGTTCAAGAGGATTACGTTATATTTCGATCATTGATTGTGAATGCTATTTGTTCAGGATTAAGAAAATATGTGTCAACGCTCAAATCTAACATCGTTGAAGAATCCTTGTTGGCAAATGATTCTCCCAACCAGACGATAGGCGTCCATCTGTTCGATAATTATTCATCAAAATTAGAGGCTTGGAAGAGAGCTATTAGAACAGTTAAATTATTTCTTAATTCAGAAAATCACATTGTAACTGGTTTGTAAAATACAAACTGAAAAATTCCATTCCAAATTTTGTAATGATACAATACTGTAAAGTAAATGGTTTGAACCCGGAGTATCGTTACATGTTTGTAAATGTAGATCGTCCAGGTTGGTATAGTCCTGAGAAGGACTGTTTTTGTTGTTGTAGACTGACGTTTCGACAACTTTAGCGGTAGTCATCTTCAGAGTCAAAATTTTTGATTTTACAGAGAGAAATAGCTGTTTTGTAAGTTCAACGAAAGCAGCCAATAGTTCCAATTAATCTTTAAAGTGCCAATGACACGAAAATTTTGCTATTTAAATTATGTTTGTGGACTAGTCCCCGAAGGTGCGAGTTCAAATCTTCGCGAGATTTTGAAGTTTTTGTTATTTCCATTTTATCTAACTTGCACGTCATTGCATAATGAGATCCCACAATGTTTCAAATACTCCTCAGTTTCCTGACAAGTTGATACTAATTGTTTGCATTGACGTATTCTTTTATCCGGTATGTTTGTATAATTGTAATCACATCATTGTGAATGTGTATTGTATTCACATCATTGTACAAACACACTAAGTTGGAGGTAACATCTAGAAAATTCATTGTAACATATTATGATGAAACATGTTACAAATTTTTTGATTTGAGTTAACAAGTTTTAGGAAGTTTATTGAAGTTGCTATTTTGTACTGCACGAGACATAGTCTTAGACAAAACATGAGTATAAATTATCATGAAAATATTAAAAATGTTCCAGTGGCAATCAGATTTGATTTCTCGTTGGAAAAAGTGAGGAGATTGAAATGGTAATTTACTAATTAAAGATGTATCACACCAGTCAGACTCGAACTATGGCCATATACAAAGATTACTCTGGCTGTTGTGACAAGTGTTCTCTTAAAGTTTATCACAAATCCTGGACTGAAACATTACATACTTTTCCATAATTGTTAAAAAAATTTTATTTTATGCCTTTTCTATTCTTTGTTTTGTACAGGTTGTAGATCAAATAAAGAAAATTAATGTACAGAGACACACAAATTGAATCATGACTAGTAGCGTAGCCGGACTGAAAATTTATTCATACTATATATAATTTAAATCATTATCATTATTCATTTGTTTAGAAGTTTATTGTTTTTACAGTGAGTAAAGAGTGAAAAACATACATAACATGAAAAAAATTTACACCACAGTAATGCCACTGTTTATGACCATAATTCAAAATACATCATTTTTTGTTTGTTTTGCTTTCCAACGTTCAAAATATATTTCCAAAAAGCAAGAATAAGAAAAAATGACGTGTCTGGCCCTAAAGCCAGCAACCACAGTGTAAAGTTTTTAGTAAGTTTCTGCTTGATTCATCTCAAGGTTCACCATAAGGGATCAAAAATGATAACCTATCACCCGTTTCTCCCCAACTTGCCCTGTTGTTTTGATATACAATAATCCAAGCTGTCAAGATAGAAAACCAAGATAAAAATCCAATTAACGATCCTACCAAATACAGACGCATCTTTTTCTGTTCCTCGAAACTTTTAGTGAAAAATGCGTACTTTGAAAACCATACCACATTGACAAACCAGACAAAAGGAACAAAAGCAAAACCAATGTAGAAATAACGACGACACAACACAAGTTTTTCTTCGTTGGGGATTTTTCGCAGGTCCATTACACTAAGAAAAGTGAAAATGCTGTTTATTTGAAGAGTTAAGGTTTACTACCAATAATGAAACCAATAGAACTGGTTTTTCACTTTTACGTTGTAATTTAAGTTTGTAATTTTGGCAACATTATATTTGCAAAGTCAAATTTTGAGTGAACTTTCTTGTGTGGATTTGTGGTGATTTTCACAATTCTAAGCAGGAAGCGAGCTTCCACAAAGATAAACGATCGCCAATTTCACAAGGACCTGGAAGCACATCGTCTTCTTGGTTGAAATTTAAAAAAGTTTTACATTTATGTAAATAAAAGTATGAGGATTAGAGGCATAAAATCAATTATGTTTCGTCAAATGCCTGCAAAACGGCAGGTTTTCATGGTCAGAATAAATAAATAAGTTAAAATATCTCGCTGATAGACTCTCAATGACTGGAAACAGTATGCATATATTTGAAATTTCCCCTGTTGAACTTCGCCTTGTAATGACGTAACGTCAACAAACGATGGCCGGCTTTTATGTCGGAAAAGTAATAAACCGAAAATCTTGTTTAAAATCATCTTTTTCTGCTTTTCCTTTTGTAAACAGACCGAGGTATCGTTCTCCAATTTGTCAATAATACATTTTCATCCAATTCTTACGATTATCTTCTTTTCTTACAGGATATTTTTCGTTTGTTTTGGCCATTTTTATCATATAAGAAGTTCCTACGGTGTCAATAAGAAGAACATTGTCACACGGGATAAGAAATCATCAATACTACTGCCATCAAGATGTTTTTTTCAAGTTCCGAATGTACTCAAGCCGAATAAAAGAAAAGAATATTCAAACAGAAAATTATTAGGGTATGCTGTTTTTAGTAATACTAATTTTTTGATTTATATTTTAATTTTTTGCTGTAAATTTACCCTCTTTAGAAAATTAATTTCAAATATTTCGCTGTAAATTAGACAATTTTGTTTGTTTCATACATATTTTTGTTTTAGCATTGGAGTATTCAAAGAAATATTCAACATTTGATAAAGATAGTTGAAATTTATAGCAATTCAATTAAAGTTTTGTATGTTACAGTAGGCGCTGCAATTCAATTAGAGTTTTGTTTTATACTGGTTTCTATGTAATTTATTTTTTACAATCAAACTTTGAAGAAGAGGCATGTTAGAAGATTTATATTAAAAAGGTTATTGCCTTTTTGAACTAGTAGTCAACTTGTGGCCTGTAGCCCATTGCTGTCAAAACCTTTGGTAATCAGACACCAGGTCATGGTTGCAACGGTGCCTGCTTACAAAAGGTGTTTGCTTATACAGAGCTCAAAATAACATTTGAAATGTGTTAGGGCAAGATAACCAGTCAATTTCTTTTAAGCTTGGTCAAAGTTGGTTTTAAACTGGTCCCAAGCAAACATAACCATTTGAAGTAACTGCACCAAATAACTTAAAAAAACTAAATTTTTGAGACAGCAGATTCTTGTCTTTGAAGTTCTAAGCTTTACAAACTTTACAATGCATTGCTTTATTGTTGTGGTTTCCATGAAGATTTGAAAATGTTGTTGATGAAAATGACCCATAAGGTAAAAAGTTGGCCAATCAACAAGTACTTTGGACCAGTCATTGTTCATTGACCAGCCATTTTTTTCAGTGCTGTAATGAGCGGTAATACCATGTTGGCATAAAGCCAAAAGCAGTGTCTGCCCATCAGAGGTGCTCTCTTCCATAAGTAGATGTTTGACTGTAAATTACTCTTCACAATATTGATTTTGACATATAGTTAGTTTATGGCCTACAGAGCTAATGATGTGTTATGTATTTGATGATTGTTTACATCATGTTAATTTTCAGATTTTCAATGGAGAATATATATCATGTGGTTTCACATGTTGAAGACTACAAACATTTTGTACCATGGTGTAGAGACTCTGTTGTTACTGAGCAAAAAGATGGTCATGTGAAATGCAAACTTGAAATTGGATTTCCACCACTTCTTGAGCGATATGTGTCTGTTTTAACATTAGTACCTCCAAACCTTGTTGTGGTAAGTCAAGACCAAATCATTTCTAATATGGCTAACAAAGTGGTAGTGAGAGTAAGTACAACAAACTGAACATGTTATTTTTTTAAGTAATACAGCTAGTGTACTTTATTACTGCTCTTTCTCATTTGCAAAATTAGTTAAGCATGCCTATGAAGAATAAAGTTGTTTACATGTCATTGTCAAAATGCTCAAAAACTAGGCATGTAAATTGATTTTGAACCAACCAAAGTATTTGTTATTGTCTCTTGATTGGTCTTATTACTCTTATATAATTAAAAGCATTGTTTTTGCACTAATTTCATTATATATTTCTACCAGTTTAACTGGGTCAGGAACTATTTGCATGCTTGCTAAGTATTTTTGTAGGACTTATGTAAATTAAAACTGCAGTTTAATTGGTAGTGAGAAGAACAAATTTTTAATTTTTTGTTTCCATCAAAGGCAATGTGACCCAATATGGAACTGCTGCTCGGCAAAGAAAGAATTTTATGTAATTATTATGATACATGCCTTGTGTACAGATGATACTAAGATATTCCTTAATAATCAATAAAGTCTTTGTTTTGAGAATTTTCTATGAACTTTAAAACTACTCACTGAGTGCATTTTTTATAGCCCATGGTTGCCTGCCTGAGTTATTTTATGACATACATTCTATCTAGCTAGCAGTTAGCTGCCAGGTCGTATGTGAATATTCTAATTCTTAATATTCTCTTAGTCCTATTCAATAGAATATCTCTAGTACCTATACTTCTCAAATGCACAATTCTTGATATTTTTAGTCGGAATGTACGCAAGGCGAGATGTTTAACTACATGAAGACAGTTTGGCGATTTAGTCCTGGACTGAAGGAAAATCTTGAAACAACAATTGTTGACTTTCACGTATGTACATATCTTTCTTGCTAGTTCTGTTTTAATGTGTTACAGCCTCTGGAAACGCTAGTTTACACCTACGTAAGTTATCTACGTACGTATATACCCTGGCAATAAGTTCACTGTAAAGAAATATGGTTTCTTAGAAGTGCCTGCATCATGGATTGACATTAGTATTTGAGGACTTGGGATATATATGTAGGCAGTGTGAGCTAGCGAATTATCTTTTGTGATGAAGAAATACTAGCTGCAGGTACAGTTTAGGAGACACATCGCGTAATGAATAGTGTTTGTCTGATACATGTATCTGAACTTTCTCAGACATGTATCTGATTTCTCAAACATGTATCCGAACTTTTTAAGAAGATTGCAAGAGGAATTGGTTTATTAACGAAATTCGTCATTTCCAGTTGTAGTTTGAGGAAACACATTTTAAACGAATATTAAAGTACTGATTATTTTAGAAAAGAAAGCTTTAAGCAACATAACCTTTTCTTCTATCAATTACAAACAAAAAAAGAAAGTAGAAAGAGTGCAGGTATATAACATTTAGTCAGTATTTTGTGGGAGCTTTTTTTCAATTAATTTCCAGATTGTGGAAGTAAACCGGGCACGCGTGTGTGAACTGGAAACAGAGTATAATTAATAAAGCTTGTGAATGGTTGACTTGATGAATCAAAATTTAGGCAGGAAATTATTTGAAGTGAACGATGGCTTATTATTGGCAAAAGCATGTTAGAATTGTCTCTTTTTTGTTGATGTTGAAAAAGAGGGAAACGCTATTTTATCAATTGATTGATTTTCGTCTCACAATTAAAACGAAAAAGGCTTTAAAGGTTAAAAATCATTCGAAATTCAAACGATAAACGAAGCTTGTCGTAAATACTGTGAAAATAAAACTAAAACTACCAATTATGAGGCGGCAATGTTTATTTTAAGTAAATTTAAGACACATACCGCGTCCTGGAGAAATTTATGGACAAAAGCAATAGGAATTCATTTTATAACTGTTAACGTTCAACTGATACATTTATTGTTTAACATCACCACTAAACTGAGCAGGGAAGAATAAAAAGCAATCACTCGAGGCACTCTTTGATGCTTAAAAGGTAGCTAGATGGAATGTTAAACGTACCACGCACTACATTACACTTGAAAACTCCGTCATTTAGCAAGTCGTCTTCATAATGCTTGATATGGATTTTATGTTCGCATTTTCATTCAACTAAATTGTCTTTATACTTTTCACACTCACCCACAATGACCGACACAATAACTAAAAACATGTAAAGCAATGAAAAGCGAATTCATATAAATTTTCTCTCAAAAGGTTTAATCGGCGCTTGTTCTATACCTTATCACTAGAAGTTGTTCTGAAGTAACTTTGGCTTTACAGCCTTCAAGCGATGCATTTCATTGTTGTAAAGATGTCAAAGACGATTCAATGTTAACTTACAAAAGATTCCTCCAGATGCTGGAAAAATCCCACTCTAACATTAGTCATCACAGCTTGTTTACAATTGCTGGGCATGCATAGTCTTTTTAACGTAGATACAGTGTTGATTGCTACAGATTAAACTCTAACTGTCAAAAATATTCTATTTGAAAAAATTAACAGCTCAGTAACTTTTAACAAACGTGAGGTAATATCTGCACAATGACCATTTCAATTAACAAGTCGTCTGTAAATTATTTTCCAACCATGGATCATGCATAAACGTCTCTGGCAGATTCAGACAGTTAAGAAGTAAATATCAAAGATAACGTTTTGACAAGTTTTACAGATGAATCTGGAATGAAATCTCAATGCCAATAGAAGGGAGGCTGACACTTATGTGAAAATTGATCCTTTGACACCGTTGATAGAAGAGGCAAAGGAAAGAAGTTATATGTTTTTTGACGAGATGAAAGATAGCTTTTTGAACAGTGATATAGATGAGCAGTCATACAAAACGACGTCTTTCATTCAGGCGCTTTACTGAGACCAGCAATAAAGAAGAAGATTAACTGTGATCATTGAATTTTGTTACGGAATTCGCCATATCACACGGAAAATAGATAAAAAAAGTTGCAAGTTGTTTACAGCCTTCATTCTGTAGAAGCTTATTATTGAGTATGCAAATTTAACACTGTATCTACGTTAACAAAGAACATGACTATGCATGCCCATGTACTTATCATCATTGTCAACTTTAGCTTTAAATTGGAAATTTTGCAAGGGCGTGCAGCGCCCGCAGTTGAAATTATATGAAAACACAGAAGTGAGATATAACAATGCTTGTTTAAAGCAATCTAACCCAGATGCGATGATTACTGCTCTATAGCGTTTGAACGGTCAAAGTTTGGTCGATAGTAGAAACGAGTGAAGGTAGAGGTACCCAACCAGTTCACCATTTTCATGATCTCTTCCAGTGACACCCCAGCTATTCTAGCCTTGGAGGTTGACGCCGACCTCTTTGAATGACCTTTAAATACAGCCATCTATGCCAGCACAATTCAAAACCAATTTTATCCATCTAGCAATCGGCTAGGGTCTGATTATCCAGTAGGTAGGTTTATGCCCGCAGCACCGGGCTTTCAAGAGGCCCGTTGCATCCAGACATAGTTAAGATTTGGACATTTTTGCTATTCCGTGCTAGCTAAATGTGTTTAAGTTAGATCATTTATTCTATTAAAAATATAACAATCAATTGAATGCAGAGAAAAATGGCTTTCGTACAATCTATACTGTTCAAATGCACAAGGAAATGCAAAAGCAAAGAAAAACTGAAGTTAGTGGGAGGAATAAAGCCCACAACTTTCCTTTAGCCTACAGGCATCGTAATTATTAATCTGCTACTGCTGGCAATCGAACATGACCGGACAGGACGGTGAGGTTTGTGACAACTCATCAAAAGCTTATTAGGAATGTCATCGTTGTGGCCTGTTCTAAAAGAGCGTGCTTGCACAATATAGTACTGTCAACATTGAAGCACCTAAAGTTTCTGACACTCTGCATGTTCCTACTAGCAGTTAAAATTCTGACCCTTAGGCAGGGAACGTAGAAAAACGAAGGCGAAGAAGTTTCATCTCCGAAGAACGCTTTCGTACTGTGGTAGCCAGTAAAACAGATAACTTATAAGTCAGTAATCAAAGACCCAGACCAAAACAACCAGCGCAGTATCATGGTTCCTAGATCGCTCTTTGCAACGGGGTCCAGATTTAAGACGCCCTTTAATTAACAAACGATTAGCGAATGACCAACTAGAAAACCATCAAGCAGTGGCGTGGACGCACCACAGACAACAAAGAACAATAAGTATTGAATGTTCTACTCATAAAACTTTCATCAAACGAGCCTACGAGGAAGCCGGTTAGACATCCGCCCAAAGTGGGGCGAAATGAATAAACCTTCTTTGTGAAACACCAACCATGCCAATTTTTTCGGGCAGAGTTGTTCGCTGCAGCAGTGCTTGGCCGCCAAACTCCCCAGATGAGTTTGAAAACGTTTTCACAAATTCCTGCGACTGCAAGGATCGTTAAATATGTGCCAGCGTTTCCTTTTTAGTATAACATGGTTCCAAAGCCTTTAAATCAAATAGAAAAAACTCAGCAAAAGCCGCCAATCAGAAAAAAACACAACCGTGTACGGCGAGCTGATGAGGAACTGGAGTAACGTTGCTCGGTGATTATACTATGACGTTGTATTTTAGAACTTAGTCTTCATCAGCTGTGTATTGCGAGTTATGAGGAATAAAGCATTGTTATATCGAAAATTCTGTGTTTGATATACAATTTATATGCTCGTTCAATGTCAACTTTTAAATAACTTCTAATAATCCTCCGTCCAAATTCTTATTCGTCGTGTCAACTATTCACAAGGTTCGTTTATCCTATTCTGTTTCCGGTTGACTAAGGTAAGAGCTCCCAAAAATGCTGACTGGGTGTTCTATACTTGCACCCTTTCTATTATAACACACGCTTGGCATCGAACTCTTCTTTTTCTTTACCAATGATTTTGAACAAATAACGGAATTTTCAACATAAGATATTATGGTCTAAAAAGCTGGAATTCAATACATGAATCATTTAAGGTACTCGGTACTTATTCTTTTAAACAAAAATTTAAGCATACTATTTTTGACGACTACTAAATCGTCAATTAGACTGATTATAATTCAATGAAGTTTTTGTATATAGATAATCTAGTTTTTTTACGTTCAGTAACTTGTCATCTGACTTTATTAGGCATTAAAGGTATTTCGGAGGTTTAAACTGCACTGTATGCAGTATTATCTGTCCTTTGTAAAGCAAAATGAAGCACAAATATATTATTCTGTATGTTTACGTAGACTATTTATTGCTTGCTCAAGTCACCAACGAGGTATCTGCGGTGTAGTTATGATCTTCATTAGCTACTGACTATTTCCCCAGTATTAAGCTGAAGGGATGTTTCGGATTTCCCCTCAGCATCTTTGACGTTTGCTCCCTATCCATTTAGCGTCTTTGATTTACCAAAATTTAATTGTTGTATTTTCTTATTAAAACAGCTTGCCTTTGAGTTTCGTTCGGCGTTGCATTCTCAGCTGTCGTCAATGTTTTTTGATGAGGTTGCGAAGAAGATGGTCGGTGCGTTCGAGAAACGCTGCGGAGATCTCTATGGTCCCAGTAGTTTGGTTGCACCGCGAAGAAGGAAAGAATATCGAACAACAACAGATGTTATTGGTAGCTATGATAATCGTTTATAAAATAACATACCTGTTGAGCGCCTTGTCTGATCCGTCGATGCCATGCTTGTTTTTGGGTCATCCAAAATTGGAAATTTAAATTGCTGTCGCGAGAATTTTAAATATTTCTGATAATGAAGACGGTTTTTTTCCCAAAATTGTTTTGGAATGCATTTCTGATAGTGTAAATGTGAACTTAAATCAACATTGGTGATTTTCCTAGATGTTTCAGTCACTAACCTCCTAATTTACATTATAGTGTTTCGCGCGCTTTTCTAATTTCACGCTTTATTCCCATATCATCCTCCATAAGAAAATGTGGAAAATCTGAATTCATTGTTCACGAATTTCAAGGGGCAAGTTCATGACAGAAATTTGCAAAATACTCTCTATCTTGTTATATATAAAAAAAGGAAAGTGACCGCACACTCACACAGGCCTTAACCAGGACTTAACATTTAGCAACACAAAATAAGCTAAATTAAGCTTACCTACTCGATAATGAGTAGCTTTAACAGGAAATTGCTTATTAATGGTGACATTCATTAGAGCACAGCCAAGGAAAGTTTTCATTGGTTTAAGGGCCCAGCTAATTTGTTCCGATCCAAATGTTTTTATCCAACTCGCGTTGCGCATTCACATAATCAACCAATATTTGAACTCGATCAATCGTCGGTTGCTACAGTAATATGAAATACGTTTGTTGCTTTTCATGTGTTGAAACATTTCCATTTGACGTTAATTGAATTGGCATGTGTTAGTGAGAACGTCGTTCAAAGTTTGTTTTCAAATTATCTTGCGGTCATACACCAAGCTCCGCATGCAATTTTAGTTATTTATGTTACTTGTACACTGATGGAGTAGAATTCCCGGGGAACTTTGTTTTGTTTTCAAGCTATATTTAAAATTTTTACAATAAACTTCAAAATTAACTAGAAAATTTGTTTTTATCATATTCACGATGATAAACAACTAGCGTTAACTATTTACCAATCCTTTATCTGAAGTTGATAATGTGTACTAGATACCAAAGTTGTTCATTCTTATATGTATGCTTCTAGTTTTATATATAACTAGATATATTCTGTATGTAAGTTCTAGTTGTATATATAACTTTTTACCGCATTTTTTAACGTATATTTGCTTTTCCTGTAGATGTACCTTCTAGCAGGTAACATTGTTGGAAAAGAAGTCATTCCTTATGTCAGAACAATGATATGAAGACAAAAAGAATTCTCCGTGTAAGAATAATTTTATAAAATATATTGGCGAACGTCGACTATCAATTAAATAAACAATGAAACCATTACTTGGAATATTTTTTGTACGGCAAGCAAGGTTTCATTTTAGGAGGAACTACCTCCTGGAATGGCACTTAGCTACATATTATTTTTAATTTCCAACAATAGTAATGATTTTTAATGGTACAAATGAGGACTATGTAGCATGGAAAGTATTTGGAGAGTTGGAGTGGGGATGGGGTGGAACGCGTATCCGTGCCAGTGACACTGATATCACTGCAGGCTGTAACAATGATTTTTTGCGTTGTGATCGTTTGAAAACAGCTTGTTGTACATTGCAAATTTTGAATCCTCTTGTCAAACCTGTCTTACATGGGATCCAGATAGGCAATTTTTTGTCTACATCTCACTAATACAACACGAAATAGACCTTGTAGTTTTTTGGCAGGTTGATTTGTTAGCTAACTACGAGATTGGTTTGGCGTTAATTAGTTATCTGCCAATTTGGTAGAGTGTTTATCTAATACGCGAGAATCGAGGATAAAGCTCATGAGGGGAAAGCTCCAAAAAGTGAAGAGTCAAAAGTTGACCAGGAAAAGTTGAGAGTACAGTCAGTAAACGAGAATTTATAAGAGATTTAGCGTTGGCCTTTGGGCGAAATCTAATGATTGGTACAACTCTGGAAAAAATTTTATGAGTCCCATATTTCTCAACTTATTTGAGTGATTTAGCAAACACGACGTTTCGTCTAAGACGTCGTAAAAATGGCGTGGCATGCATCTTTTATTCCGGTTCAATCTGCGACGGCAGTCGTGTTGACGACTACGACGTGAAAACATACACTTTTATGTCTTATCGACGACGGCTGGAACAAACTCGATTGTTGGACAGAAATAAGGATATATCTTTAGTATTTCCATCTCGAAAGATCATATAGGCCTACGAATATTTATTTAAGTAAAAACTACGAATGTTTTCGTAAAAAACAAACAAACAAATAAACAACTCGGGTTTCCTTGGAGTCAAAACAATTTTAGTCACAAAGCCTTATGTCGATGATTTTGCTTTTATATTTTTTATTGAAATAAATATACTGCAGTATGTTTTCAAAATCAAAAATAACTTTTAAATGATAGAAAAATGGATGAAACTTGTTTCATATTATTCTTTGACGAAATCCTTCAAAAGGTTTTCTAAATCACAAATACTTTACGACGTTGTGGCGTCCTAGACCCAGATCCCTCGCGAAAATTTGACGACGTATTAGAGACGAAACGTCGTCTTTGCTAAATCACTCTACTGTCGACTGTTGCTCCCATATTTCTCGAAGTTCACACCCCACCCCACCCGACTCTTGTATTATAGATTCAAAATTTATAGTTAAAAATCAGGTAAAATTAAAGAAAATATTGTATTCTAGATAGTATTCAAATTAATGAATATAACGAATGAACGAATACGAAATATTCAACTGATGTTTTTTTTAATCACATCGGAAACCAACTAATAGTTTCAGCTGACAACTCTTTTTGCAAGACATTTGAGCAAATAGCAAATTGATTTACTTGATTCTGACAAACTCTATAACATTTCCATCGATTGGGACATGTATGTAATTTACATGCACAGAATATTGTATGCATTTGTTTCTTAAAAAAATGTTAGCGAACAATTTCGGTTTCAATCCTTTCAACGAGAGGAGTGCATATTAAAAATCGTAGAAACCAACGAATCATGAAATAACCTTTTTTACACTTGAATCCGCTTCGCACTGAAATGGTTGCATTTAAATTTTACGTTTTTCTTATACACAGAGAATTGTTTGTTTCTCTTCTATAACTGTTTTACGGACTGCGGGTTTCTGAATTGCTTGCCCAAATTTGCCTGGTTCCTTAATGTTCGGGTCTAGTTACCACGAAAAGAGGTAGCACCCGAGTAAGGTCATCGGGCACGGGCACCAATGTGAACGCAATATTTTGATGGTGCCCAAGTCAAAGTGCCCGGGTCTAGACACCACGAAAAGAGGTAGTACCCGAGAACGGTTATCGGGCACCAATGTGAACGACGGCACCTGAGTAAGGTGTACGGAGAGGCACGTATTCAGCAAATGGTTTGTAAAACTTGTTTATAATGAAAAACATGTAATTAAAAAAAGACAAAGCTAGTGGGTACTACGTTGTGTGAAAGGCCTGCAGATTTGTGCCCAAAACCAAGGTATCGGCACTCACAAGGAAATAAAAATGGGTCCCTAGTTACACAGATTAATATTATATCAAATGGGACTAACTACTCCAAATAAAAGGTGAATGTTCTATTCAATATTTAACAAATTAAACAAGACAGTTTTTTTCATTTAGTATTGTTTCAAATGTATTTCAAATTCTTATGACTCCATTTACAAGCAAACTGTAGCTTTATTTATATGTGTGTAATTGCATCATTTCGAAAGACGTGTCACTACGGAAGTGTAAATTTGATTGGAAGAATTCATTGAATGTGCGGCTGTGAACTCAAGTAGTGACAATTCCTAGCTTGTTTGACATTCATAGTTATATAGTTCCCACAAGTTAGTCCCATTTTATTAAATGAAAGATAATCAATGAACGTAAATATTAGAAGTAAAATTATACTAAAATACAGAAAAATTAAAGAAGGTGAAATAGAAATAGTATTTAAAAGCAACAAAGACTTCAAAATTTGTTGATGTTCTTTGGACCAGAATCAAAGTTCTCTTTTTTAAAACACAGTAAACCATTTTGTTAAACTCTTAAATTTTTGTTTATGACCACATAAATCCAATGTGTGCGACATAAAAATAGAGCTCTCTCTAATCAAAGGCAAAGTCATTTCTCAAGCGATGTTAAAATTTTTGCAAAAATATTTTATATCAAGCCATCATGCAGTTGTGTATACAAATGACGTTTTCGAAAAGTTATGAGGTGATTTTGAAGGCACACTCAGTAAGTGTGAGTGTGAATCAGCGAATAATGGAGTCTCTATGGTCTAAATTTCCAAAGGTTGCGGAGATAATTTCCAGATGAGACCTAACAGTTCAATAGCAAAGGCGTACGGAACTTCGGGATTTACTTACAAATAAACTTAAATTGTCAAATCCATCAAAATAAACCAGTTCGTTCGTTGGTTCGTGTGACTCGTTGAGCTATACAGATTCATGCAAATCTTCAGTTTATAGCGACATCTGTAAATTCATGCGAAACAAAAACTTATTCAAAAAATTTTACAATTCGGTAATAAAACAGACCTTTGGGCGCTATCCCAGTAAACTGCATACGTAGCAAGACGCCTATGAGGCGTTCACTCGGACTATTTGAGAGACGTTTTTGATAACGAAATTCACAGTACGGACGGCAATGCAATCTCACATGTGGCAACATATTTTGTAAGAAAATTGTCTTTCATTATACGTGTCAATAGTGACACTCACGCGTGAATCAATCCTAGATAAATTTGATTGGTTCAAGACTTTGTACGTGTCAGGACGTCATAAGTGATTTATGTACCGAGTAACAAGCAGCGTTGCCAACTTCGGGATTTTATCCCGAGATCTCGGAATCTTTAAAAGCAGTTGAGATTGTTTTGGGATTTTTATTTTGAAAAGTAGTTCTCGGGATTTTTGGGGGGATTTCTGAGTTTGAGATCTAGGGTTTAAGGAATAGCATTCGGTCAATAGGTCAAATAGTAGATGGTGTGCTTAAATATAGAAACTAAATTTTGAATTTTTCAAGTATGAAATCATAATCTATATACAGAGCTCAATTACATGTCTTTTTCCAAGGGAGCGTTGGAACGAAAGTAGGAAACTTGGGATTTTTTAAAGAGTTTACATGGGACTTCAATAAGTTGGCAACACTGGTAACAAGTAAAAGAGCTTTTGATCTGCATGTTTAATCATGGGCGAGACACCTTACAAATTATTTTGACAATTTTATGTTCAAGTAAAGGTAGCAAAAGCAAATGTTTAATCTCATTACTTTGATAGCTTTTGCAGCTGTTACTTCGGTATTTAGGACATGTAATCAACAAAGCCACAGTTCATTCAAAATCCAGGCATTTACCGTTACCAATTGTCATGACGCAATATTTTAATTTAAACACGATACAGTGTATAGAATGCATATAAGAATATGCCTGCATGAAATTTTAAATAATTTCTACAACCCAGCATGACGCAAACAGTTGGTGGCATAACATAATTTATTTTTCATGTCGACGAACTTTGTCAACATGATCTTGATCTACTGAAATTTAAATGCAGTCATCTGATTGTGCTTAAAAAATGATGCTCACCTGATGGGCGTTCTCAAAAATCCTAAGAAAAATTTTTTTCGTGGCTGTCACTGTTTTAATATATGCGAAAATCGTTAGTTATTCAATTATTTGTCATTTGTAAAAAATTGATCGCAATTCTGAATTCTGCAGGTAGAAACAATAAGTTGTAAGAAGTTGATTTGATGCTATCAGGTAATATTTGGTAAGCTTAGAGTCTCGACTGTAAGAGGATGACCATTTATGATCATTTCAGCTTCACATATAAACGTCATGAATGATTCACCCTTAAGTTGGCTACCATTTTTCAAGATATTCCGCACTGACCTGATCTGCCTTTCCCAAATTCCGCGCATATATGGCTGGCTATAGGCACGTTAAACTTGAATTCTGCACAGTCGCAATTTTCTTTTATCAATTCAGATTTTACTTTCTCAATAGTTTTTTTAAATATTTCTCCAAATCATTATTAGCCCCTACAAAATTAATTCCAAAATTAATTCTTCTTTGACATACGAAACGTCCGTAGGCATTTATAAATGAGTCAGCTTCCAAAGAATGCGCAACCTCCAAATGAATTGCTTTCGAAGCTATATGCATGTAAATAACACACCATATCTTTTAGCCATTTTTCTTTCTCGCTTGACATAGAATGGGTCATAACAATCTCCGTTGGCGTACGTGATCGGTGGAGAAGGTTCAACTCTTTCCTTTGGAAGGTCAGCCATTTTCTGATCCTTTACGTACGAACGCATGCGCTGAAACGATGCGTTTGCAACCAATGATCCAGTATCCTGAAGCTACAATCTCATTCAACGTGATTCCTAAACCTTGGTGATGGATCCTTTGATGAATATATTTTCGTGTCAGAAAAGATATATTCTGATGTTTTAGAAAAA